AGAAAAGGGTGCCGGGGGAGAAAGACGTGGAGCCTGCGAGTGTGGCTAGCCTCTTGCAAATAGAACTTGATAGCTAGGGGTGAGGGGGGAAATGGCCTGGGAGTAAAGGAAGGACAGGCTTGGATTTTGAAGGTTATGCACGCGAGGCAAATTAAGACACGTGTCTGTGAAGTAACACACACCACACACACACAGTGAAACCGGAAGATGACTGAGAGAAGGGTTTAGGTGCGTGTGGATGAATGCTGTTCGACGAGGAGGCGTTAGTTGGCTAGTTAGAAAGTTTACAGAAGTGAAAGGTAGATTTGTGTGTGGGCAACTGAAGGATGTGGATCTTTTATGAGTAGGTGAGCTAGAGCCACTAATTGGTTTTGATAGATGCCGAGACAGACAGAAGAGCCTGATGCCTTCAAGACTAGCACTCAGCCTTGTGAACGCTGGCTGCTGAGTCGATCACCCTCCCCCATCACAGCCAGCCCGTCTCATTGCTTCAGCAGCAAACAAATTCACCCTTTCAGGGTAATGACATACACATTGTTTGATTTTGCAGGGAATTTTTAAAACCTCGACTTTATTAAAGATAGCATCAGAAGGTCTTTGTGAGGAAAATCTGCTCTCGGGTGGTTATCTTATTGGGTGTGCATAATATGTAATGCATGTAAACGATGCAGGGTCTCTTATAGCAACACCAGTTAGAATTACCATGTAGGTACCATCCCACTGCCATTGAGATTCTGACTCTTAGCCACCCGATAGGACAGAGTAGAATGGTCCCATGTGGCTTTCAAAGCCGTGACAGCCGTATTGTCCTCCCATGGAGTGGCACACCTTAGGTTCAAACTTTTCACTGACAGCTTTCATTGACAGCTAAGTGCCTTAACACCAGGGCTCCTTCCGCCAGCGTATAGGATCAACTCGGTGTAGTGGAATATGAATACAGATCATGGCATTGTTGGGAAGTGCTTCACAGTCCTGGAAATAGTTTTGTGGCTAAACCAGTTCAGAGTTCTGTGTGTGTGTGTATGTGTATGTGTATTTATCACTATTATGCTTTTCTCTTTTAAGCTTTTGGAATTTTTATTTCTGGGTTGTGGGTGGAGGACAGAGCAGAGAAGAAATAGGGAAGAAGGTGACCCATTGTCAGAGTTCCAGTAGATTTAAATGGGAAGAGATGATAAGCACCGAAGTATGATTTTTGTTTGTGGCTCGAAATATACCAGGGGGTACCACCCAAAGAAATGGATTTTTTCAAAGCTATGTATTTACATTTTTTTTTAACAAAACAACCTTGTCACCTTCAAAGTATTCTCCATTATACTTAATGTGTTTGTCAAATCTGCGATTCCATTCTTGGAAACATTTTTCAAACTCATCTGTTTGGATGGCTGACAGCAACTCGCTCTTTTTTTCTTCACCTCTTCTATGCCATCAAATTGCTGCCCTTTCTTGTCCCTCTTCATTCGCTGAAACAAAAAGTTGCACAGAGTGAGGTCGGGTGAGTCAGGTGCCTGGGGCAAGAGAGGCATGCTGTTTTTTTTGCCAAAAACTGGTGCACTGAGATCGCTGCTCGAGCAGGTGCATTGTCATTGTGGCAAAACCAGTTCCCATCTGCCATAAATCAGGCCTTTTTTTGTCACACACTGTTACACAATCTTTTCAGAACCTCTAAATAGAAAGCTTGGTTAACAGTCTGACCTGGTGAAACTAACTCCAAATATCCCCCTCACATCAGAAAAACAAATGAGCATCGGTTTTTCAGGGGGGTGGGTGGGTACCACCTCGTAGTTAAACACCTATTGACAAATAAAAAGTAGCCTAATGTCAAGGACAGAAACCACAGAGGCCATTTTTTTTTGTTTACGGTGTTCCCAGGGGACTTTTCCTTAGAATGTAGAAATAATTTTTGTGAAATAATTTGTGGGTAACACTATTAACTGGGATCACATTTCACCTTTAGTATAAACAGAATACCTAAGTGTTGAGGTGCCGAGGCAACTTGGAGCAGAGAAGTAATCTATCTGAGTGCTGTGAAGTCAATCAGGGACGAGTACCCGGAAGAGGTGAGCTTTAAATTATCCTTTGGTCAACCATACATACATACTAACCAGAAACATTTTTTAGCTTTTTACTGGATTATGTTAATAATGCTGGCAAAATTTATTGAATGCTACTATGTTGGACAATACTCTAAGCTTTTTCAAACAGCATCTCATTTTATTGATCCTTATTTTACAGGCAAGGACTCTGAGTGTTAGAGAAATTTAGCTTGCCTCGGTGTCATGCAGCTAGGAAATGGCAGGGCTGAGATTGACACAGTCGATCAGCAAGTGGTATATTGAGTATTTTTTTGAAGCCAGGCACTGTGCTTAAGTAATAGGGATTCAAATTGACAAAATCCTAAAGTGAGACCTGAGCCATTTTTTACAGATGAGCAGATTTAATAAAAGAAGAGTTCATAAAGGAGAAAAAGATGAGTTGGAGAGATTTTTGCAGATACCGAGGAATATGAGGTTAAAGTTTTAAGAATGTAATCAACAGCAAACTGTAGTTGAGAAATTCAAGATCAAAGTTTAAAGTGATATAATTGAAGTAAGTAAAAAAGTAATGCAAATTTAGGCTGAAGAAAGACATTTAGTAGAAAGTAGCCTATACAAAATGAAATATTTGATAGAATAATTATGGTTAAATTCATAGGAAAGATGTTTGGTCTTTTGTGGTGGGTGAGAACTGCGTGATTTAAAAGTGCTTGTATTTTTCATATTTGCCAGACTCTCTAAAGTGAGCATCTTTTATGTTAATACTGGGAGAAGGGCCTTACACTGAAAGGAGATGATGATGAAAGATTATGGGTAATCTCCAGCTTACGAATATACTCTTGTGAATCAACCCTTGTGAAATCTGTTGTATTACAATTTTGAGCTGTGTAAAATGGTTTTTGATAACACGTGCACAATTCTGCTACTTTTGACATACATCAGAAATATACTGTATCTTTTAACGTACCTGGAACTGTTTCTTTAATGTTTCTTATGCATAGAAAACTTTCAAATTAACTGCCATCGACTCAGTTTTAACTCCAAGTGACCCTATATGACAGGGTAGAACTGCCCCAGGGGGCTTCCAAAACTAATACGTTGTGGGACTAGAAAGCCTCATCTTTTCTCCCGAAGAGCACTTGGAGGTTTTGATCCTCTGGCCTTGTAGTTAGCAGCCCAATTTTAATCCACTATGCCACCAGGGCCCCCTTCATATTAAATGCTAAGACAAACATTTGACTGAACCTAAGCAAACATAGCTGTTCGGACTTGGCTGCAAATTCAGTTTTAAGGTAGAAGGACAGAAGTCATTTGTAATCTCGGTCTGCCTGTATGAGAAGGGGCTAGTCTGAACTATGTGTGGGATAGAGAAAAGACGATTTTATCTGTGTCTGTCCACACCAGCCACTTTGATGGGCACATTCCCCTCTTGTAATGACTGGGTTAGAAACATCCTCAAACTCTGAAATTGTACCTGTGAAAGATGGCATTTGCTTAATCTAAGGGATGAAGTTAGTGAAGCACTTCAAATCATGGAGGTATGGTCTTGACTTTCATGAACATTCGTTTTCTTAGAATTTCATACAGGAATGTAAGGTTAAAACACACACGAAACCTCATGCAATTGAGTCATATTAACTGTTTCTTTTGGTCTCATATCCCTCCTTCCTTCCTCCACATTGGTTCGGTAGTTCCTCTCTTCACAGGGTTGACCATAGGTGTTTTGATAGCATTTCAGACACTATAAAAGGGTTAAATTTGCATATAACTAGAATAAATACTTGTGCATCAGTTTCCTGCCCCCTTTTGAAAGGGGAAAAAAGACAAGTGTCAGGAAAATAAGCTTTTCTTATTGAAGAATTGTCCTTAAACTCAATTGAATTTGCCATAGGAGCTGTATAGAGTTATTCAGATTTCTACAGTGAAGGAGGAATCTTGTAAATCAGGAATAAGACTTCCCTTATATAAAAATAGTCCTTAAGGATTATGGAAGGAAACTTAAAGGAATTCTTATTTCAGTAGGATCTGTGCTATGTTCCCTTAATTTATTATCACAGTTAATTTTCCAAAATCTCATAAGTCGAGTATCCATTTAATTGGTGAAGAGAATGAGCCACAGAGAAGCTAGTACCCTTGAGAACTACTACGTGGCAGAAGTGGCATTGGCAGCTTTCTTTTTCTCACCCCAGATTTCATGCTTAAGAGACAAATAGCAAGAAAGACTTGTTTGTATTATTACCTACAGTTGTTTAAAAACGATGTTTAAATAAAGCTCTAGGTATTTAATAACGATTTGTTACCTTAGAACATGGGACTCTTGTTTCTCTGTGTGTGGACTTGATGTGACCTGGGTGGGACACCAGCTCTAAATAAGCATCGATTTTTGTTGTCTAACTGGGTTCACTGTTTCACAGTTTCTTGCTTTACAAGTTCTGGCTTTCAAATCTTAGCATATTTTTGGAAATGAAGATAAGTTCTACTGTGCCTTATTTCTAAATGTGCATGCAATGAATACTGTGTCTTAACGTTAAAAGTGTCTCAGAATTGAGAAAGTGTGGTGTATGCAGATTGTCTTCATGTATTGCTATCTTACCAGTTTCTTGTGTGCAATTTCTTACCAGTCCAGTCTTGTTCTTTTACTTACCAATAACTGCTTTCTTCTTTCGTATGGCATAATGGAATCGAATAATATTAATACTCTAAAACAGTTCATTCTTTCTAATGATTATTATGGTGTAGAAAAGTTACTCTGTTGTAGACAGTCTGTATTGAACTGTGAATCATTAGATTGGAGTTTTTTGTTTTGTTAGAAGCTTGATGTGTAATTTAAGGCAAGGCACTTCCTTTTTTTGGGCTTTAGTTTCCTCCTCTGTAAAAAGAGAGAAGAAGGGGAACTTCCAATTCTTTCCAACTTGAACAAGCTGTAGGCTTCTCTCCTTCAAAAGTAGGTCCCTTAGATTCTTCTCTTGCAAACTGTAGTTATGGCTTCTTCTGTCTCTTTCTTTCAGTTCGTCTCCCTTTCCCCTCCTTGTCCTTTTTTGTTGTAGACTCTTAAGGATACTGCCAGTCTTAATTTATTAGAATTAATTTTTTTAAACACACTACCATGATTGGTAGTAATATAAATATTAAATATTTACTATGTTTGGCATTTATAGAAAATAGGCACCCAATCAATAGTAAGTGAATGAATGTTTATCTGGGTTAATAAAAACTTACTTAATGTACCACCAAAAAGCTCAAGACTCAATGAAAGATAATTCTGTTGAGAGAATAGAGTGTTAATAAATTAGAGTAAATACATAAAAGAAAACTCTGGACCTAAAATTCTTTAGGAAACTTCCCATCCTTATGAGAGAGGCAAATGTCTTTATATTTTTATCATGAAAAATTGCCAACAAGCAAAAACACAGTAGTATAAGGAAGCTTCAAAAATTTTGTGGGAACATAGAGTAAAAAGAAAATGTAATTTCTCTCATATACACATCAGTAACTTTTAAACCTTCACTGACTTGTCAATCTTGCTTCATTTCTACCTCCATCTGCTCTCTTTATTTTAAAGCAAATCCCAGACATTCTTACCATACAGCAAAATAAGAATAAGACCAGGTGTGTTAATGTAAATGCAGTAGAAATGTGTTTGTATATTTTAACCCTTGTGCATTATACTGTGCTGGGCAAGCAAAGTTAGGGAATACGGTGAAGGGTAAAGCAGAGACTTAGAAAACCTTATTTTGGCTCCAAAGAGTAATTTCCAGTTCTGTCTCTGACTGTTTTTTAGACCCCTGTTGTTAGATGCCATCAGGTTGGTTCGGCTCACAGTGGCCCTGTGTACAACAGAACGAGCCCCTGCCTGGTCCTGGGCCGTCCTCACCACTGTTCTCATGTTTGATCCCTTCGCTGCAGCCATCGTGTGTGTTCCTCTCCTTGAGGGCCCTCCGCTCTATCAGTGCTGCTCTACTTAGCAAGCATGACAACCCTTCTACAGGAGCTGTTCTCTCTTGAAAGCATGTCCCAAGTACATGAGGTAAAGTCTCACTGTTCTTGCCTCTCAGGAACACTGGGGCTCTCTTCCGAGACAGATTTCTTTGTTCTTTTGGCAGTACTTCCAAGATTCCTCACCAGCAATATAATTCAATGCATGATTCATGTGTTCTTGGATCTTCTTTATTCAGTGTTCACCTTTCACAGTTATATGAGGCCATTGAAAATTCTGTGGCTTGGGTTAGGCACACTTTAATCCTCAGTAACATCCACACTTTTCAACACTGTAAAGAGGTCTTGTGCAGCAGATTTACCCAGTGCATTATGTCATTTGATCTCTTTACTGCTGCTTCCATGAGCATTGATTGAAAATCCAAGCAAGTTGAAATCTTTGATAACTTCAATCTTTCTTCCATTTATCACCGTGTTACAACTAGACTATTGATCCAGTTTTGAGGATTTTGGACCTTTTTTTAAATCATTTTATTGGGAGCTTGTACAACTCATCACAATCCATACATCCATCCATTGTGTCAAGCACTTTTGTATATTTGTCTCCCTCATCATTCTCAAGACATTTGCTTTCTACTTGAGCCCTTGGTATCAGCTCCTCATTTCCCCCCCTCCTTCCGTGCTCCTCCCTTCCCCATGAACCCTTGATAATTTATAAATTATTATTACTTTGTCATATCCTACACCATCCAATGTTGCTCTTCACCCACTTCTCTACTGGGATTTTGGACTTCTTGACTTTGTGTTGTAATCCATACTGAAGGCTCCAATCTTTGGTCTTTATCAGCAAGAGCTTCAAGTCCTCCTCACAGCAAGCAAGGCTGTGTCATCTGCACATCGCAGGTTGTTAATAAACCTTCCTCTAATCCTGACGCTGCATTCTCTTCGTATAACCCAGCTTCTCCAATGCTTTGCTCAGCATACAGATTGAATGAATATGGTGAGAGCATACAGCGCTGACACACACCTTTTGTGATTTTAAACCATGCAATCTTTTGTTGTTCTAATCATACAACTGTCTCTTGATC